CTCTTCAAAACTGATTCCTTCCTTCTTGTAGATCCACTTGTTTATCACAATCTTCCTTCCCTGTGGTCGTTTGACTAGCTCCCAAGTCTGATTCCTCTCATGGGACTATTGCGGCAACCCACTAATCAGCTTCACCACTCGAAACTGCTTCTCTATAGGACTATGGCTCTCCTACGTCCACTTATTCAGCAACCTGAAATGAATACGCCACCATGTCCTCCAAGCCATACCTCTATGGAGGTACTCCTACAGTCGCTCTCTTCGGTCTACCGGAAGCCATAGACTGTTGACCTCGTGCATTGGACTCTGAAGTTTCTAGATCTGTAGAGACAACTTCATCATGTTGATCTTCTCCACCTTGGTGCTCAAACTCACTCTCTTTGAGAGTTTGTAGCTCCACTTGTTTATCAACATTCCTGCTACCTTCAACAATAGTAACCTTCAACATGGGGTTAAACATAGACTTATCATCAAATATCACATTCTACCGAGTATAACCCGATGTTCAGAAGGTGACCAAACTCGAAATCCCTTAACTCCATCTCCGTAACCCACAAATACTCCCTTCTTTGCCCTTGGGTTCATCTTACCCTCATCCACATGATAATAAACATGACACCCAAAAAATTTCAATGAAGAGTAATCAGCAGGCTTACCATACCACACTTCATAAGGAGTCTTACACTCGATACCTGTGTGAGGTCAACGGTTGATCAGGGTGCACGCCATGTTCACTGCTTCTGCCCAGAATCTTCTCTAGTCCAGCATTAGAGAGCATGCACTATGCTCTCTCCAACAATGTCTGGTTCATCCTTTCTGCAACACCATTCGGCTAGGGTGTATCTCCAACGGTCCGATGACGGGCAATCCTTTCATCCTTGCAGAATTTGTTGAACTCAGAACTGCAGAACTCCAGAACATTGTCCGTTCGCAGCTTCTTGATCTTCTTTCCGGTCTGATTCTCCACCAATGTCTTCCACTGCTTGGACTTCGTGAAAGCCTCACTTTTCTGCTTCATCATGAAAAATCCAAGTAAATCTCAAATAATCATCAATAATATACAAAAAATACCTGCTGCCTTCAATGGATTCAACTCGTGAAGGAGCCCAACAGTCGGAGTGGAGGTAATCCAGTATCCCCTTCGCCCGGTGGATACCCTTCTTGGAAACTTATTGCGATGTAGCTTCCCAAACACACAATGCTCACAGAATTCCAAATTCTGCACCTTGTACCCACAAAGAAGATCCTTCTTAGACAGAACTTGCATAATTCGTTCACTCATATGCCCCAGTCTCATGTGCCAGAGAGTGGTCATATCTTCCTGATGAACTTGAGACGATACAACTGCAGCAGAACCAGAAAACACAGACCCTTGTAATGCATACAAGGTCCCATGCTTCACGACCTTCAGCACCTTCCTTGAACCTTTTCAGACATATACAACACTACCTTTTCCTTTGAATCCGAAACCCTTGCTGTTGAGTAGACTCAAGGAGATCAGGTTCTTTGTCATTCGCGGAACATGCCTGACATCATTCATGGTACAGAACGAACCATCATGTGTCTGAACCTTTATGAAGCCGATTCCAGCAACCTTGCAGACAGCTCCATTAGCCATGACCACGTTACCACCATCTATCTGCTCGTAGGTTGTGAAGCAAGCCCTGTTCGGAGACATATGATAGGAGGTTGCAGTATCCAAAAACCACACATCACCACAATGTGCCTTCTCATCTACAGCCAAAGCGAGATCGTCTTCAGAACTGTTGTCCACTTCTGCCACGACAACTGAACCTTGCTTCTTTTGTTGCCCTCTTATCCTGGGGCAAATGTACTTCCAATGCCCCACTTCCTTACAGTTGTGACAGACATCGCTTGGCTGTGGTCCAGGACCCTTAGATTTCCCTTTACCAGATTTCTTCTTTCCCTTTCCACCTATGACAGCCAACCCCGATGCTTCACCACTTGTACCATATTCGGACGCCTTATGTCTGATCTCTCTCGTGTGAAGAGCAGATAAGACATCCTCCAATAACAAGCTATCTTTACCAGCAATAAAAGAATCCACGAAATTCTCATATGAACTCGACAAAGACACAAGCAGGATTAGGGCAACATTTTCATCATCAAATTTCACATCTATATTGCGTAAATCCAACAAAATAGAATTAAGCTATTCCAGATGTTCCCTCAAATGCGTACCTTCTTGCATCCTCAAGCTGAACAATCGTTGCTTGAGATGCAACTTGTTGGTTAGAGACTTCGTCATACAAACTTTCCAGCTTTAACCACAAGCCAGCGACAGTCTTCTCAGCAACGACTTCAATGATGATGTCATCAGACAACGATAGCATGATGGTCGATTGGGCCTTCTCCTCCAGGGTATTCCACTCATCGTCATTGACCGCTGTCTTCTTCTTCTTCTTCTTCTCAGACAGCAGCCCCCAAGCCCTTGTTGTTTCAATGAAGCCTGCATCTTTATCTGCCATATAGCGAAGCTGTTCTTCCTCATTAACTTCTCAATCTTCATGTTCACCTACGTCATTCTTCATAATCAAAACCCTAGCCTGATTTCTAGCCACGACTCTGATACCACTTGTTATAAACATCGCTACTACGGATCAGGAAATTCCCGGAATCGAGAAAGCAAGAATAAGAAAGCAAGAATCAAAAACACGACACACGATTTATGTGGTTCACACACACAATGTGTGTTAGCTAGTCCATGGGCGATAGAGAGCCAGTTTCACTATATCGAGGAGATTACAAATTATAGAGTAGATGAGAAGTATTTATATTTATCCTTGTGGATCTAAACCTAATCCAATATGGCAAAGGAAATAGTTACAGACCAAGCCTAGAACCCGACTATTCCAGTCGTAGCGGCTGATAGTCCGATTCAAGTCACATCAACACCTGCTATTAGAGATAACAGAACTAGTGGGGGTGTTGGATCTGATGATGAACTCAGAAGAAGTAAAAGAGCTAGAATCTCCAAGGATCTTGGTGATAACTATACTACAATATACACCCTCGAAGATCCCAACAACTTGCAAGAAGCGTTAACTTCCACAGATGCAGATTTTTGGAATGAGGTCGTTATAGATGAAATGGATTAATTGGAAGCTAATAATACTTGGCATCTAACAGACTTACCTCCTGGCTGCAAAGTCTTAGGTAATAAATGGTATCTAAAAACGAAACGGAGACCTGATGGAGCAATTGAAAGGTTTCGAGCTCGCCTAGTGGTTAAGGGCTATAGACAGAGAGAGAGTATAGATTTCTTCGATACCTATTCACCAATATCTAGAATAACATCCATTCGTGTATTGATTGCTCTTGCTTCTTTGAACCATCTCGTGGTACACCCAATGGATGTTAAAACTTCTTTTTTGAATGGTGATCTGTAGGAAGAAATCTATATGGAACAACCTGAAGGGTTTGTTACTCCTGAACATGCCTCAAAATTATGTAAGTTAGAGAATCATTGTATGGTTTGAAACAGGCTCCAAAACATTGGCATGAGAAGTTTGACAATCTAGTTCTCTCGCATGGCTTTAAGGTGAATGAAAGTGACAAGTGTATTTACTACAAATCAGAGAATAACCCTTGCACTTCATATATTTATATGTAGAAGACATGTTGATATTTGGTAAAAATATTCATGTGGTCAATGAAGCAAAAGCCAGGTTGAGAGAGAGCTAGCTTTGAGGTCAAAGATCTAGGAGAAACTAAGTTTGCACATCGAATTTGCACATCGAATTTGCACATGTTAGCACCCTCGTTTCTTAATCATTTTGGCTTGAGTTTCTGCTTTCTTGGACTATTTTACGCTAGGTTGTGTTCCTTTTTCACATTTCAGGTCCTAGCATGTGAATTGAAGGCACAAGTTTCAAGTCAATCGGAGATCATTCGACAATTCGGGAGAAGAAACACGAGCATGACCTGAGGAATAATGGACTTCTACCTCATATTATGGAAAAATAATCATGGAATTTTGTCATGAAAAGAAAGAGGACGAGACTATGAGCGTCTGGGATCAAACATCGACTGATTCGGAGTCCGGACGAGGGAGAAACAAAGCATTAAACAGAGGCTGAGCAAGCCACACGGGCACGACCCACACGGCCGTGTGAACTGGTCATGTGGCCGTGTGGAAATCACCGAGCACTCACACGGGCATCTGGGAAAGTCACACGGCCGTGTGGCCTGGCTGTGTGATCGGGAATTTCTGTTTAAAACCCGATTTTCAGCAAAAGGAAAGGGGAGGGCTGGGTTTTGGTTCCCAAACACCCAAGGGACGAACCCTAGAGAGAGAGAGAGAACGACTTGGGAACATTCTTGGAGCTATTTTGGAGGACTTCTTCGGCATTGGATCTCGGGAATCAAGCTTGGAGATGGAGATTGAAGATCTAGATCAGATTTCTGCAATCTCTCTCTTCTCTATGGAGTAACTTCCCTTCACTTAGGTTTTGAGGAACCCTAGTTCCATGTGTTAGGATCTTTCTTGTATGAAGTTTTGGATGCTATATTTTTTTATTATAATCGATTGAGGCATGATTTATAGAGTTAATTGAAGCCCGATCATCTTCTCTTAATTTCTGCTTTAACCTATGATAGATAGAATCTGATTAGGTTAAGAGAGTTTCCTTGATTGATAGTGGTGAATTGGTTGTGCGAGAGTCAATCAATTCACTGCTTTGTACTGGAATTCATTCCAGTAGTGGAGATCTGTGTGAATGGCCTTAGCATTCTATCCCGGTGAAGGCTAGTCGTCTGCCGGGTATTCTGTCTAAGAGGGCTTGGTCAGCTTAAGAGATTCCAAGCTAAATTAGGATCTTCCGCAGTTTAATCAACAGTAGACCAACCAAAAGTAATTGCAACTTGGACCTAATTGAGGAGCTAGGGGGAATCATACCTAAGTGAGTTCCCAACTTGTAATTAGTAGAGTAGTTAGTAGAATAGTTTATAAATCAATCCTTAATCTAGTTTGCTAGATAATGAACTGAAACTGAGTAATAGTAACTCTAGAGACCCGTGGATTCGATATTTAATACTTGTGCCACTATACTGCAATCCCTTTCATTGGTTACACTTGGCCATTGTTAGGTGTTGTGTTTTAGCGTGTCAAGTTTTTGGCGCCGTTGCCGGGGACTTTCTAGATTATTAGGAAAGGCAGAAGTTTGTTACTTTAGCGTTTTTCTTTTCTTTTCCGCCCTTGCTTTTCACTTGGGTGTTTTTTGTTTTTGTTGGTGCAGATCTGAATCATGGATCCTCATGGCTTCTCCAACCATTGGGGGTATCCACCACCATCGGAGTGGTATTACCCCGAGACTCCCTGGAGCAATCAAGGAGGAGAAGACTATGGATTCGGGTTCCAGTACCAACCCCCTTACTACGGAGAACAATCAGACCCCTGGGCATATCAAGAACAACCTCATTACCAAGAAGACTTTCTCCCACAACCAAAAGGGCCATCAGAGCTGGAGTTAGCCATGGAGGCCTTCACGGGCCACTCTACAGAGCCATGCTACACTTCACTGGAAGATCCGAACAAACAATTAAGGCTTCTCGTGGAGCAGTTTGCTCGAGACACTGAGAGATCATGCTCCAAGATGGATCTTCAAATCAAAGCCCTTGCCCCTTCCGATCCCTCATTTCTCCATGAAATGGAGGAGACTGTTCAGCGCTCCGCGAAGCAAACAGAGTGGGTGGAGCAAGTTTGCTCACATCTTGCTCAAGATCACCTTTCTGCTACCACGCTAGAAGAGGTGGAGGATGACAAAGGCTACGGGGATGTTGAGGAGCATACGGAAGTTATCTCAGAGAACTCCCATGATAATCATGATCAGGAAAGTCCTCTGGTTGTAGATCACACATTTCCTTATTTATGCTCTAACATGTTGGGCCCGAGCGAGGAGATGCAAGATGATCTCATTGAAGAAATTACATGGCGACTTGCTCTCCAATCTTTGCTAGAAGAAGAAGAGCAAGAAAGGGTGCAGAAAGAAGTTGTGGAGGATGACGAAAGAAAAGCAGGAGGAGTTCTTGATCATTTCCCAGGGGTGATACAACATGAAGAAGAAAGGGGGGTTGAAGAAGCAATTGGTGTCCAGGCTGAGGACGGAGTTAAGGTGGAAGAGGCCTGCACCGGCCATGAGTTACATGTGATATCTCCACCAAACTTCGAGGAGCTACTTGGCAAGGACCCATTTGCAGTGTCTCTTTGCCAGACCAAGGCCACGTCGACATCGGTCCCCCTTGGTGGAAGCGATGGTGGCCAATCGATGCTGTCATATCTGGTTTGGGGCAATGGGACGAGAGAAGAGAAGAAGAGGTCTCGAGGATGGAGACTTCATCTGCATCAAGTGCACGAGCTTCCATCACCAGTCATACCACATGCTCGTGACTTGCGACTCCACCTCATTGACGAGAACCTCAACTTTAAGGAGGTTCTGGCATGGACCGAAACTTAGGAGCCATCGTCCGGCTCACGACGTGAAAGAAGCGCTTGTTGGGAGGCAACCCAACCAGTCGGTTTGCATTTCTTTCTCTATTTCTCATCGGTTGAGTCAGTTTTGTTATTTGATTTTAGAGTCAATAACTCAACCTTTGTGAGATTTTGTGTGGTGTTTGTGTTCTGATTACTCTCTCTTTCTGGAATGCACCGCCTGACCCGTCCATCATCATTCACCCTTGATCTGGTAACTTCGTTCTACCCTCCTTATCTTTCCTCCATTGAGGACAATGTCGTGCTTAAGTGTGGGGGGGTGTTTGATTATGTATGCGGGTGAATGTTTGGCTGTTTGTGTGCTTGGAGCCTAGTCCACTGTCCAAATTTGAGATTTGAGGGCTCCAAGTACTGCTCTTTGCTTGATCATATTGGCACTGTGGTTTTAATTGGTGAATTGAATGGCTTTCCACTTAATGCATGACAACTGAGGTGTGACTAGGACAACCTATAATGATGACTGAGACGTGCAGTAGAATTGTGTAGGGGTTTGGTTTTTCAACTGTTTGCTTACCAACTGTGACTTGGATTGACCACTTGTTCTTGACAGTCGGTTATGCATCTAGTTCAGGGAATCAGAATGAGAGATAGAGCATATAGGTAGCCATGTGAGATTTGAGCCTGCTCGTTTCTTTCTTGTGCGATAGTTCCCTCTTCCATGATGTGTAGCATTCACGTTGTCATTAGTTAATATGATGGAGGCATAGGATTAGCCCACGACTAAATTGACTGTCCTGATGTGTCATATCCTCTAGTCAGCCCCTTTGAGCCGTGTGTTATCCTTTCTTTCAGTCTACAATGAAAAATCACCCTTTTGCATCTTTTAGAAGGTTCCACAGAGTGGTTTTGACATGTTCTCTGCTGTTTTTGCTAAATATAATGTGAGCGTTGGAGGTAGTTCTTAAAAAGTTGGGCAGGTGTTTGAAAATGTGCAGAGGTGGTGGTTCTCTTAAGAAATGAAAAAAAATGAAAGAGAAACAAAGAAAAAATGAAAGCAAAAGAGAGCCACTACCAAAAATCTGAATAGTGCCCATTAAGTAATGTTTCTTAGCAGTCTGGCTTAGAAATACTAGCATTTATGTGACCTCCTTCGCTCTTATGCTCTGAAGAATTTGAGTAATGCAGAATGGCAGAAAGAAAGTAAGTGGTTTGATTGACTGTGATTGTGTTGGGTTTGGAATTGTGGAACCTTGTGCTACGAATACTTCCACCACCTAAAAGGCCTTTTCCCCATGTCTAAGACCCTAGCCAGTCATTTGAACCTGTGTCTAAGACCTCCGGATTAGTTAGTGGTGACACCTCATATGTGAACTCTAGCATTTAGAGGTTGCCGTCATGGTGAAGAGATGTTAGGGATTGAGAGAATAAGCATGCGCATTTTCTCATATTGTCCTGACCCCACTGGTCTAGAGTGAGTGATTCATTTTCTCATATTCTCTATACTCTTGTACCCCGGTGAGGACCTAGATTGCTCGGTCTCTATTCTGATATCTTGAGTTTTGTGCATGGGGTGACTGTCTTGAGTAAGTGGTTGAGTCAAGTCTATGTTGATTGATGAACAGAAGGGAGACTCCTCCTTTACTCGATTTTGCTGCACTCGAATGTCCTCTGTGGTGGTTGTCCAGGTTGCGGTTGAAGTTGTTCATGTGTTGATGTTTGAAAGCCGGTGTGATTCCCATGTTTTGTGCCTATATGATTTGTCCCCAATGTTGGTATGATTGAAATTGTGAGCTTACCTTGTGTCTGACTTGGTTTGCTTGGGGACAAGCAAACGGTTAAGTGTGGGGGAGTTTGATAACATCAAATTTGCACATGTTTGCACCCTCGTTTCTTGATCATTTTGGCTTGAGTTTCTGCTTACTTGGACTATTTTACGCTAGGTTGTGTTCCTTTGTCACATTTCAGGTTCTAGCATGTGAATTGAAGCATAGGCGCAAGTTTCAAGTCAATCGGAGATCATTCGACAATTCGGGAGAAGAAACACGAGCATGACCTGAGGAATAATGGACTTCTACCTCATATTATGGACAAATAATCATGTAATTTTGTCATGAAAAGAAAGAGGACGAGACTATGAGCGTCTGGGATCAAACGGCGACTGATTCGGAGTCCGGACGAGGCAGAAACAAAGCATTAAACAGAGGCTGAGCAAGACGGGCACGACCCACACGGCCGTGTGAACTGGTCATGTGGCCGTGTGGAAATCACCGAGCACTCACACGGGCATCTGGGAATGTCACACGGCCGTGTGGCCTGGCCGTGTGATCGGGAATTTCTGTTTAAAACCCGATTTTCAGCAAAAGGAAAGGGGAGGGCTGGGTTTTGGTTCCCAAACACCCAAGGGACGAACCCTAGAGAGAGAGAGAGAGCGACTTGGGAACATTCTTGGAGATGGAGATTGAAGATCTAAATCAGATTTCTGCAATCTCTCTCTTCTCTATGGAGTAACTTCCCTTCACTTAGGTTTTGAGGAACCCTAGTTCCATGTGTTAGGATCTTTCTTGTATGAAGTTTTGGATGCTATATTGTTTGATTATAATCGATTGAGGCATGATTTATAGAGTCAATTGAAGCCCGATCATCTTCTCTTGATTTCTGCTTTAACCTATGATAGATAGAATCTGATTAGGTTAAGAGAGTTTCCTTGATTGATAGTGGTGAATTGGTTGTGCGAGAGTCAATCAATTCACTGCTTTGTACTGGAATTCATTCCAGTAGTGGAGATCTGTGTGAATTGCCTTAGCATTCTATCCCGGTGAAGGCTAGTCGTCTGCCGGGTATTCTGTCTAAGAGGGCTTGGTCAGCTTATGAGATTCCAAGCTAATTTAGGATCTTCCGCAGTTTAATCAATAGTAGACCAACCAAAAGTAATTGCAACTTGGACCTAATGGAGGAGCTAGGGGGAATCATACCTAAGTGAGTTCCCAACTTGTAATTAGTATAGTAGTCAGTAGAATAGTTTATAAATCAATCCTTAATCTAGTTTGCTAGATAATGAACTGAAACTGAGTAATAGTAACTCTAGAGACCCGTGGATTCGATATTTATTACTTGTGCCACTATACTGCAATCCCTTTCATTGGTTACACTTGGCCATTGTTAGGTGTTGTGTTTTAGCGTGTCAGTGGTCAATGAAGCAAAAGCCAGGTTGAGAGAGAGCTAGCTTTGAGGTCAAAGATCTAGGAGAAACTAAGTTTATGCTTGGAATCCATATAACTAGAACACAAAATGGTTGTCTCTAGATCAATCTAGCTACATAAAGAAGATCTTGAAGATATATAACTATTTCGATTGTAAACATGTGTGTACTACATATGATGCTAGTATAAAGCTATTCAAGAACACTAGAAACTGTGTAAGACAATCTGAATATGCTAGCATCATTGGCAGTCTCTATTATGCGGCGGATTAGGCTCGACCACACATTGCATATGTCGTGGGATTGCTTGGTAGAAATAGTTGTCCTAGTAGAGAACAACGAACCTTGGTATACGCTATCAAAGGTTTCCTGCTATACTAGAAGGGTATAGTGATGCGGACTGGAATACCCTATCAGATGACTCCAAGGCGACCAGTGGAAATTTCTTTAACATCCCTGGGGGATCTATGTCTTGGAAGTCTAAGGAAAAAACAATCGTAGCTCAATCAATTATGGAATCAGAGATGTGACACATTCCAACTACAACATCCTGATCGGCAACCAAGTATAACCACTGACCGGGTGTAGCATAGGGAAGGCAAGCAAGCAATAATAATTTATCGTACCATGGGGATCTAGGCTTACCCTAGTTTGGTTTGGGGTTCGTTATCTAGCCAAACTAGGATAGTGATTAATAAAACTAAACTAACCAACCTAAATTAACCACAAACCTAGCTATTTACAAGGTATGGAGCTCACTTGGGTTGAATCGTATTAGGTCTGTCCTTTGTATCGATGTTGGGTATCCTTCTAGCTCAATCGACTCAAATACTCTACCGTTGGGAGATGGACACCCTCAGGAATGACCCAAATTGGCGAATCGATGAATGGGGTGTGCTCTTTTCAACCTATGAAAACCCTATATCGTAGGAGATTGATGGAACGGACTCCTTTGGTGGTTTGTGCTCATTTGTACACTTTTTACCCCCTATTTGCTTAGTCATTTGAAGCATTTTTACTCTGGGAGGTTTGGTTTTGCGTAGGGTTGTGCCTTGTTTTGGTGTTTTTCAGACTTTGGCAGGTGGAACCAACCCCGGAGTGGAAAGTTGGACGAAAAGGCAAAAAATCAAGTGAAACGGTGGAAACATCAGCAGATCACGGTCTGGGTTGTGAGTTCATGGTCACTAAGACCATGAACTGGAGTCGATTCCCATAAACAACCAGGCATCCAGAGCACAAATGGTTTTCACTGGACATGAGTCAGTTCACAGTCGTAAGACCGTGAACTCCGGCCATTGCCCGTGAATTGAACTTAATGATGCGGTGCGTTTCGACTTGAGATCATGGTCCCTGAGCCCGATCTGGGTATATAAAGGAGGTTGAGCCAAAGGCGAAAAGGGGGAGACCTAGTGTGAGAAATTTCTTCTTCTTCTTCTTCTTCTTCAGATTTCTAGAGTGAGCAAGGCTAGGGTTTCATATTCAAGCAAAGAATTGGGAATTCCTCCCCCAAAGGAGGATCTCTTCAACACAAGGAGTAAGGCTAGCATCTCTTTGATGGTTTTCCTTCTTCTCTATTGTGTTTTCCCTTCTCCTAGCATGGAGTAGTCCCTTCTTTCACTTGGGTATTTGTAAACCCTAGCTACAATTATGTGAATGCTTGTATGGATTGAATGATTGTGTGTGGTTGTGTTTAATGTGAATGTGGAGGTATTATTCATGAATGATTGTGTTGTGTTGTTGATAACGCCATATTTGAACATATTTTTCCCGTCATTTCTTGACCGTTTGAGCTTTCTTTCTCGCACTCGTGGCCTGTTTTACGCTTTTGCGTGTTAGTTTATGATGTTTCAGGACTTAGTACTTGAATGGGGGCGATGGAGCGAGGTTTCGGGACGTTTTGGAGCGAAGGACAGTGAGCACCTGGAAGTTACGGCTAGACCTTGTGAGTTACGGTCTGGCCTATAACTTT